CGTCTTCTGTCCATTTTTCCCCCTTCCTGTGCCACTGTCTCCCTCCTCCTCCTCCTCCTCCTCCTCCTCCTCATCCTCCTCCTCCTCATCCTCCTCCTCCTCCTCGTTGTTCTCCTCGCTGCCCTGTCTTTGCTCTCAGCTCGACTTTGTCTTACGTGACTGTCTTTTCCCATCTTCCAGTCAAATCCGCAGAATCCCAAGAATTGACCATTCTTCGTGAAGAAACAAGAGTTTTCCTGCTAGGGTATCAGTCGATAATCATGACCAAAAAACTTTATGATCAAAACGACATTCATCATCGTCATCATCATCGTTGCGAGATGACAACAACAAAAGTCACGGGGAGACGTTCACGATCTTGACACGACAAATGCTCCAAGGCAACATACCGCGGCAAGAACGCCACATCCCAGGATATCTCCCTCCCCGAAGCGGCTTGAGATAGGGCTTGCAATCACAGACGAATGGTCATCCCTGCCACCAACGGCTTCGAGTTACGACCGCACTTGACACAAGAGCAACAACAACTCGTCATCTTCCTACAAGCAACATTCACACGTCTCACTGCCTCACCTGATCTGCAGCCTATCCGTCGCCCCCCCTGAGACCTCCCCATCCATGGACAGCAGCAACCAGCCTGTTCCCTCTTCCGCCTTCTTCTCCCCCTGTCCCGACCAGCAGCATCAGCTTCTCTCTTTCCACGTCCACCTACACACCGGGAACTGCGCAAACAGCGCATCTACAACCTTCCTCGGGGCCCCGTACCCTCCGCCACCAGCCTCCTGATCCCTACCGTTCCTCTGAGCCCCACGTAGCTGGGCGTGTGCTGAACTTGACCTCCTGATTCCGACCTGGACCGACCTACCCTTCATGATGAAGGTTTCAAAGTACCCCAGCACCACCATCTGCCCTCCAGTCCCGGGCAGGCACCCGAGCCCGGGGCAGAGGTCAGTCAGCGCGAGCGCTGAGTGGACTGACGCGTCACCCCCGGCGGGAAACCTCTCATCGGAGCAGACGATCGCTTCCTGCAGCCCAATGTCGATCGACCTGCCCACCCTCTCAGCAAAACTTTACCTTCTTTCAAACCTTTTCCCTCCTCTCTCCCCTTCCCCTTCCTCCCATCCTCCCCACTCCTTCCCCCTCTCTCCCTACTCCTGCTGCCCCATGCTGTCCCCACCTCAGTCCTCCAACCGTGTTGAAGATGCTGGAGCTGGGCAGGAGAGGAACATCGATCGGGTGGACGCCAATCGCATCATAGCGGAAGTACCCAAGGAAGTTGAAGGAAACGGCTGCCTCGGGACCCAGGAAGTAGATGGAGGGATGAAGGGGACTGACAAATCCCACAGGTACAAAGATTGATGGGAACCGAAGGCCGTTGAGGGTGAAGAACAGCTCGTTGCTTCCCGAGTCCCATCCCACACCCACCGTGTCTCCCTGCTCCAGCTGACGCCCAAGGTACGTCTCGACGCTCCCCTTGTACAGCAGCTGGCCTCGCTCCGACTCCAACCCCACCGACTCCTTCATTCCTACGATCCCGCTGTGTCCCAGGGGAGCTACTCCGATGGAGAGTTGCGAACCCTTGACGTACAGGAGCGTTACCTCCCAGTATTTGAGCGTCCCCTGCAGGATCGACATTGTTCCCTGCGCCTGAATACATCCCCCTTTTGTCTTCTTCGCCAACACCGTCGACCCGTCCTCAAGGTTGCGTATGTCAGCCATCTTCCTCGCTAGACGCCAGGATCGCTGGACGTCCTTCACGTGCCAGGTTCTCTGACTCTCTCAACCCCTTGCCTCCTCCCTCACCTCCGACGCATCTTTCCTTGTCCTTTTGGTCACCCGCCGTAACCACACTGAGCCTTGCGACCGATCGCTAAGGTTGTCAGACGCCCGCAGGCCTCAGGGCAGAAGCCATCCTCATGAATGATCCTCTCCTCTCTCCTCTCCTCCTTCCTCCCTGAGCGTCTCTGTCTCTGTCTCTGTCGGTACCTCCTTCCCTGCTTTCCCTGCTTCCCTTCCCTTCCCTTCCTCCGTCCGCGCTGAATCCCCACCTGCCTCGCTCGCTCGATCGCTCGCTCTCGTATCACACTGTCCTTGGCTAGCAAGCTCCTCCTCTCTCCTCGCCCCTTTCTCGCTCGCTCTCTGCTCTCTGTCTCTCTCCTCCCTCCTCTTCGCCACCCTCCTCTTCTCTTACGCTCTCAGCATGGCGGCCCTGTGAAACCCGACCCCGATAGAAAAAAAGAAAGTCATAAAAGGACCCCTTCTTCCGCTACCCACTAATTTCAGTGAGTCATAGCAAAATGACAAAATCCAGAACTGGAAAGAGGGGGTGATCATACTACCCCTACCCCCTGTGATTGTTGAGCTGTCAATTGCACCCAGAGGACAAGAACACATAGTTCGCATCCTGCTCCTACTGCTGCTCCTGCTGCTCCTGCTGCTGCTGCTGCTCCTCCTCCTCCTGATCCCGCTGCTCCTGCTTCTGCTCCTGTCCTCTTCCTCCTCCTCCTTCAACTTTTCAATCATCCTTTCCTTATCTGGTTGTACGTTCTCTTTCTGCCTTTCCTTCTCTTCTTCCTACTTCTTCCACTGCTTCTAATCCATCTCCTGCTTTATCTCACCCTCACCCCCCCCCCCCCCTCCCCCTTCGTTTTGTCCCGCTCCTCCCCTCCTCCCTTGACTCGTGTATTTCGCTCGTGCTCTCATCGAAAGTCTGTGATGACTTCACATGACTTGAGGTTGTCAGGAATGTCCAAATGGAGTTCTGGGTTGCTTGGCTGTCTTGACATTCCTACTGAAAACGCTCTTGATCTGGTGAGGCATGATTTTGCTTCTTCCTTCCATCACAAGTGATTCTGTAATTTTCGACAGGGATTGGGTGTGTCTGCGTTCCCAGAGGTATGCAGGATCTCTCATACCCCTGACATCTGTCGTGGAAGAGGACTAAATCATCACTGGCAGGCAATATGCCCATGTGTGGCTTACTTTCAGATCCGAAAGAGGATGGTGGAGTCAGCTCCGGTCGGTGACGAGGATGTCTCGTAGTAGTTGATGTTGTTGTACGTGTCAGGATGAGGGTTTGTACCTGATTCAAAGGCTGTTCGGGAAGGATGCAAGTGCCGACAAGCATGCGATGGGCCTGACGTAACTTGTTCATTCCTAGTCTGCAAGTAGAAATGACGAGGATCCAGATGCTTGTACTGCGCAAGTCCTTGCGTGTTCGGAGGTTTGAACCGGAAGCGACTGCGACAATCAGCAGGTGAGCAGCGAAGGAGTCGAGGAGGAAGGCAGATATCATTGATGAGCTGACTTGCAATAAAAGAGTTGTGCTCTGTACGATGAGAAGCAATGATTGAGTTTGTAGCATGTAGATTACGATCTGTGTGAGAGATGAGAAACAATGATTGAGTTGGTATGGTGAGAGCTGAGAGGTGAGAGCTGAGAGGTAACATGAATGAAACAAGAAGAGCTGGAGAGATAGAACTCTTACGCTGATGGCAATTGATTTGTCTGTACCGCCTAAACCTGCTGCAGGAATACGCGGAAACCTCGGTTTCGACTGCTTGCTTCATACTTTCCTTGCACCCTGTGCGCTAGCACAAGAAGTTAGATGCAGCGAGTTGTCAAGAAGTGGAGTGACTGGAGAACAGGGTCGACATCTCCGGACAAACCCTCACAAGGGAAGCGGCGGATCTTACATCTCCGTTCCCCTCTGGCGTCGCATGTTCAGATTTTGTTTCCCACTCAGGGAGCTGAACTCGGTCATGCTGGATGCCATTCAGCGAGGAGATTTGTGAGTGTGGTGTACAACCTTGACATGTAGTGCTGAGTGTGATACTGATCCGTGATCTTGACATGTGATCTTGACATGTGATTTTGATGTTGCCAATACAATATGTTCGTCTGTGTGGTCTTGAACGTTCATGTATCTTGCAATGTGCTTTCTAGTCCGTTGTGTGTAACACACCTCCCATGTTCACAGGCAGATGTGCAACGCTATGGTGAAGCAAGGGGCGAATGTCAACGTCACAGACCATGCAAAGGTAATGGAGCTGGACCGGAGGTGGTGAAGGGAGGAGGAGAGAGGAGGAGGAGAGAAGAGAAGGAAGCGACGAAGAAGAAGAAGAAGAAGGAGGAGAGAGGAGGAGGAGGAGGAGGAGGAGGAGGAGGAGAGAAAAGGAGGAGGAGGAGGAGGAGGAGGAGGAGGAGGAGGCTTTTCATCTCTGATCATAACTTTTCAGGCGACGCCGCTTATGTTCGCCGCTCAGAACCGACAGCTCGAGATCTGCGCGATCCTGCTCGAGAACAAAGCTGATGTGAACGCTAAAGACCGCGGGGGGATGACAGCTTGCCATAGGGTGAGGAGAGGAAGTGAAGCGAGGACGAGAAGGCGGAGGTTGTGAGGAGGGGGGAGGCAGAAGGAGGGAGCAGGAGCAGGAGCAGGAGCGGCACAGGCTGACGCTGCTTCTTGTTGCAGGCAGCACTTGTGGGGGACGTGAAGGTTTTGGAGCTGCTGATTAAGAAGGGAGCGAAGAGAGGGATAGAGGATGGCTGGGGAAAGACCCCGATGGATGTAAGACGAGAAAGACTCTTTGATGTCCTCCTCCTGCTCCGCCTCCTGCTCCTGCTCCTGCTGCTCCTGTTCTTGCTCGCGCTCCTCCTCCTGCTGCTGCTGCTCCTGCATTTCTCCGCGGATTATCACAACTTCCTCCTGTTTCAACCTCGCTCTGACTGCTCTCTTGTAACCTCCTCTCTTCTCATCTCCTCTTGTCTCCGATCCTCGCAGTATGCTTCCTTGCAGACGAAGGAGAAACTCCAGCAGCTCGTTGGGTTTGGTGTTGACGATCCTCTCGTCATGCAGTGAAGTCGCCACAAACGGCCTCCTCCCTCCTCCCTCCTCCCTCCTCCCTCTCCTCCCTCCCTTTCTCAACTTCCTCCTCGTATTCTCTCTTCCCTCTCCTGCCTTTCCGAGTTTGTTTCAGGTTCTTTTCATTTTAATGCAACAACTGTTAGCGCATCCCCGCCCTGCCGCAACATGAGAGAAGAAGATATCTTGAGCAAGGAGCGAGGAAGGAAGAGGAGGAGGGAAAGGAGGAGGGCAGGAGCGAGAGAGGGGAGAGGAAGGGAACAAGGACGGGAGCGGGATTCGAAGGAAGTCAGCAATGAGGGAGGGAGGAAGGAGAAAGCGAGCAATACACAGGGGTTTGCGGGGGAGGGGGGGGGGGTATGATTTGTTTACCTGCTCGAAGGAAGCGGGGGCATAGGCAGCAGCATACATACAAGTAGCGAGATGCTCCTGCTCCAAAGTGAGATGTGGCGTATGGAGAAGGGAGGAAGAGGGAATAGGACGAGGACGAGGAGTGATGGGAGGAGAAACAGAGCAGGGGCATGGGGCAGAGAAAAGAGCAGGGGGAGCAGGAGCAGGAGCAAGGTGAGAAGAAGGTTGGAACGGGAAGAACGGGGGGCGCAGGCACGTACCTGGACCACCTTCTTCACTACTCCTGTTCCATGACCCGAAAGGATGAAGGCAGCTGCGAAATCAACCACGTCAGCTCCTTGCACCGTCTCCCTCGGTCCCTCCTACTCTTCCTCCCTTCCCTCCTCCTCCTCCTCCTCCTCCTCCTCCTCCTCCTCCTCCATAACTCACTTGGCTGGTTCGCACTGGTCATCTTGTCCAGGAAGGAGTCGATAGCATCGCCCACCTGCTCAGCCCTAGCAAGAATTCAGAGAAGCGGACAACAGGACCAGGACAGGGAGAGAAGGAGAAAGAGGTTTAGAAAAAGAGCGAAGAGTACAACGAGGAGGAGGGAGGAAGAGGGAGAGGAGATGAGGAAGAAAACGAGGAGCGAGAGCAGGAGCAGGAGCAGGAGCAGGAGCAGGAGCAGGAGCAGGAGCAGGAGCAGGAGCAGGAGCAGGAGCAGGAGCAGGAGCAGGAGCAGGAGCAGGAGCAGGAGTTGACCGGAAACCACGGAGGTCGAGAGTGTTGACGGGAGTCCGCACGGCGCGCTGGAGGGCAGCCTTGTACTCCTTGCTCCCTGTCTTCTTTCCCCTCTTCTGCGTGAGGGAACCCGAGGCGCGAGGAGAGGGGGAGGAGGAGGCAGTCTTTCCCTCCACCTTGCGGACCCGATCGACCTTGGTTCGGAGCGTCAGCGGGCCAACGCGGACCTGGAGTTCGCCCTTGGAGGAGGGGGGGGAGATAACTTCGCCCTCGCTCCCGACGTCGAGCAGCATGACAAAGTCTCCCTCCTTGATCCCCTCCGGTACCTCGCCCGCCCCCTCCTCCTCCTGCGCCGTCAGGTTGGTCCGCAGGCCGTCCAGCAGCTTCTTGGCCTTGTCCACCTCCTTGAAGTCCGGGTTCTGCTGGAGCTGCTTGATCACCTCAGCCACAGACTGCTCGGCTGACTTGAGCTGCTTCAGGAACTCTCGTGCTCCCTCTTTCTCCAGCTCCTTGGCCCTCGATCGGATCTCCTCCTCCCTCTTCTCCAACCTCTCCAACTTCCTCCGAAGCTTCTCTCTCTCCTCTACCGCCTCCTGCGCGGCCACTGACGCCCTCGTCCTCTCCTCCTCCAGCGCCTCCAGGGTCTTGGTCATCTTTGCCTGCTCTCCCATGAGCGACTCAGCTCTCTCGATCACTCCCTCGAGGATTCCCATCTTCTTCGCTATGCTGAACGCGTGCGACTCTCCCGACACGCCATGCAGTACCCGGTACGTCGGCGCCCCGTTCACATACTGCATGGCTGCCACCCCGAACCTCGAGTCGACAGTAGCCAGAGCCTTGAGCTGGCTGTAGTGCGTCGTCACCACCATCTTGGGCGCCTTGCCCAGCAGCTCCTCCAGGATGGCCTGAGCCAGTGCAGCTCCCTGCGTCGGGTCTGTTCCCGAGGCGATCTCGTCGAGGAGGATAAGGGTCCCCTCGTCGGCGTGCTGGAGCATGGTGTTGAGCGTCTTGAGGTGGGAGGAGAAGGAGGAGAGATCCTCCTCGACTGTCTGCTGGTCTCCGATGGACGCCAGCACCCGCCGGAACAGAGCCATCTTCGACCCCTCCTCACACGGCACCCAGCAGCCATGCTGCACCAGAAGCGCACACAGCCCAACGGTCTTGAGTACGATGGTCTTCCCTCCGGCGTTGGGCCCCGAGATCACGACCGCCGGCTTCTCCCCGTTCATGCTCATGTCGTTGGCAACCGGCTTGATACCCCTCAGCACCAGCACCGGGTGCCTCCCGGACCTGATGTCGATCTCGCCCCCGCTCGACACCTCCGGCCTGACCGCCTTGAGCATCTCCGCAAACTTTTCCCTCGCCGCCGCCATGTCCAGCTGGCACACAGCTGAAGTCGCCAGCTTCACGTCCCGGGCAAGCGATCCCACCTTCTTGGACAGCAGCCCCATGATCCTGATCTCCTCGGCCTTGAGCTCACCCTCCGCCAGCCTGAGCTTGTTGTTGAGGTCGATCACCTCCTGCGGCTCGATGTAGACCGTCGACCCTGTCCCCGAAACGCCATGGACGATTCCGTTGATCTTGTTCTTGTTGGTGGCAGAAACGGGGAGGACGAAGCGGTTCTCTCGGATGGTGTAGAAGCTGTCCTGCAGCGTGCTGGCTATCTTGGTGTCCTTGAGCATCGCGTCCATAGTGCTTGTCACAGCAGCCGCGATCTTGTCAATCTCCTTACGCAGGTCCTGCAGCTGAGGGTACATCTTCGTTGACAACTGCCCGACGTTGTCAAACGATCTCTTCAGCTGGAGCACGACTGAGCCGTCAAGGTGGATGTCGTCGGCGATGTCCATCAGGGTCGGCGTCTCGTTCCGCCCATGCAGCACATCCTCAATCTCTCTCATCGCTCCCATCGTCTTGGTGCACAAGTACAGCTCGTCCAGCTCAAGCACGTCTCCTTTCGCTGCTCGAGTCACCAGCTCACGCACATCCCCGACCTGCGAAAGAGGCAGCCGCGTGCCATCGTCGTTGAGCATCCGGATCTCCTCCACAGCATTGTACGCTCGCTCCACCTCCTCCACCTCCTTGAAGGGCCTCGCCTGCTGAAGCGCGCTCCTCCCCATACTGGTGACAGAGCAGTTCACCAGCGTTGCCTTGAGAAACTTCCAATCGAGACTCTCTTCCGTCTTCCTCCGAAGCGACTCGAGAGCATCTTCAGTGCCAGCGGCGCCATCCTAGATCGAACGAGTCACTCTCAAGGGATCAAGAGGGCACGAGCTTCGATAGCTTCACATGGTCAACAACTTACAGCAAGCGCGTTGGTCTCTGCAGTAGCTGACTGCAGACCGCTCTTGCTTCCCGCCGTCTGGGAAGATCCGTACCACTTCTCCCACCTCGAGCCTTGTCCTCGTTGCCTGCTTCCGCTGTCAGAGGTTATGAAGCTCAGAGAGCGAAGCGTTACGGTTGTGCAGACGACGGCGCTCCGGGCACAAACATGATTTCATTTGCGTTGCTACCCATCCTGGTAGCAAGGACGCTCAGGCTGAGCTTGCCAGCCCGGGGGGAAGACGTCGAGTGTTTGCAGCAAAAGGCTGAACGCGCATGTCAGTGTCGCAGAATGTCGGCAGGGTTGGCGCAACGACTCACGGGTATTTGAAGCCAACATGTAAGGAGCAGGCGATTGGAACGCCGTCATTCTCAATGCGCCCTTGACGCATTCCCCGGAGATGACGACGTGATGAAGGAGTGAGAGCAGAGCGAAGTGACTGCACAGCCTGATCTCCCTTCTCATGGTTTCGTCCCTGTTCACTACTCTCCAACTTGTGCCCCACTAAACAGCCGCAGACTAGATCTGGCACTTGCTCTTGACTTAGGCTTGTTTTGCTCGCTGCCTGTTCGTTCTTCTACTTCTACTTCTACTTCTGCTTCTGTGCTTCCTCAGACTCTGCTTCTGCTTCTGCTTCTCCTCTAGTCTTCTCTCCCCACCTCCGTTGCCGCTTCCATCGCCATCGCAAACGGCCCCTTATGTGCACAAATGTGTAAAAGGTAAAAAATAATAAAACAAAAACCCCTTCTGGGACCGGGGGGGTGAATGCCAGTGTCGGATGGGGGTACTGGTACCCTAAGTTTCCAAGCGACTTTCTGAGCAAAGACCCTCAGTGCTCGCACTAGCAGCATCTTGTCGAGCCGATCGAACCGAGCTTGGAACAACTCTACGATACAAAAGAGCTGGTCAAACTTGGCCGGGGGATCCGACTGCTGCTGCAGTCCAGGAGCAGCTCGAAGGAGGTAGTGGAGGGTCGAGACCAGGCGCTCACAGGCCTGCTGTCAGGCTGGAAGCCTGGCCAAGCAGCATTGATGCTTCAACTTTGAACAGGTACGATATGGTACAACATCTCTGATTCGAATCATCACTCGAATCATCAACATTGAACAGGTATGATATGGTACAACATCTTTGTTTCGAATCATCACTCCAGTCATCATCAATGTCCCACTCTGCTGCATCATCAACATTTCCGTGAAAACGATGGTCGTCACCCGACCCGTGATCCTCGTCATCATCACCATCGCTTTCACCACCATCACCACTACTACCGCTACCACGCTATCACCGCTACAACCCCCGCTATCTCCATTATCGCTCCCATCCGAGACAGCAGGAACCGGGTGGTTCCATCACCACTCGAAGAAACTGTTGGTGACATATCACTGATGCCAAACCAACTTCTACCACAGCTACCAAATTATGAATGCAATCGGATCGGATCGGTCATTCAACATCACTAATCATCAGTTTCAGCGTAGATACTGTAACAAGTTCAACGGGTAAGTCAAGTTACTAGTCGGAATCACTATCACTAGAATACAACCCTTCATCATCGTCTCTGTGATCCCACAATGAAGCAACCCCATTCAGTCTGGGAAGACGATGGTAGTATTCGTCGTCGTCGGAATCATCATCATCGTCGTCGTCATCAACTGCAGCAGCACCGACCCTATACCCATCATCGTTCCCATCCTCTAAGTCCTCATCAACCTTTCCATCAGGACGGCTGAAGTCTTCATCGTCTTCCTCATCGCTGAGCTGCAAGTCATCTGAGTCAGAAGGGCAGCTATAGCAATCGACTGAGTGGTCGGACAAGCCTAGGAAATCCTCAGGTTGCATAGATGCACGACTGTACCTGTCCTCCTCCTCCTCCTCATCCTCACTCCCCATCATCCCCATCAGCTGATCGTGTTTCCGTTTCGCAGGCAGACTCACTCCGTCGCTGTCTTTGTGGGCACGTGCGCTCTCATCCCTGCCCTCCTCCTGATCGCCTGCCGTGCGTGCAAGGAGGCGAGCATGAAACCGCTGCTCTTCCTCCGGCGCATCGTCGCTAAGGCATGCGCCATGTTGCAGGAGCAGTCGAGCGAGGGTTCCATCCTCACTCCGGCAGCTCAACGACAGCGCGCACGTCCCCGCGTTGTCTCTTCGGTTCACCTCAGCGCCTGCTGCAAGCAGGCTAGTTACGATGTCCCGCCTGCCAGTCTTGCTCGCCATCAGCAGGGGAGTCTGGCCCTGGTGGTCGGGGGCCTCGACGTCAGCCTTGTTCGCTAACAGAGCTTCAATGACCTCAAGCGGTACGCTAGGCACTTGACACGCGCGCAGGAGGGCCGTGCAGCCGTTCTGATCACGAGCTTCGAGAGGAAGAGAGCTGCTGTCTCCTTGGCTACCTGGGAGAAGGCTCGCGCGTCTCCTTGCCAGGTACTCATCCACCACCCGCAGGTTCCCTTGAGCTGCGGCGACATGCAGCAAGGTCTCAAGGCTCGCCAACCGATGGGACCAGTCGGCTCCTGCTTGGCTCAGCATCTCCACGACCCTGTGCTGAACCTTCTTGTCTATGCAAGCAGTAGTGGCGCTGAACAAGGCCGTCCAGCCGTACCTGTCCCCGTCGTTGATGTGAGCGACAGCCGTTGGAAGAGCTTTCATGGCGGCTAGGAGCCCAAGTCTTCCTTGTATGCTCGCTAGCATCCACAGGGTCTCTCCGAAGAAATCCATCCGAGCATTATAGTCCCAGTCGTGACAAGAGGCCAGGAAGCACGGGAGGACGAGGGCCGTCGGGGCATTGTCGACTAGCAACTTGTTGCACCACCGTCGGAATCTCAGGGCAGATGCCGAGTGAGGCCGACACTTGCTGGACAGCAGCTGCAGCACCTCCAGGTCCTTGTTGTGGAGCACCCGAGAGATGATGGGCTCTGATTCTGCTCCCTGTTCGAGGATCGCATCAATCAGCTCCAGGTGACAAGCGAATGGCGTGACGTCGGCGTTGCGCCTCTTGGCCATGTAGGCCATGTGCAAGGCTGTTGCCGTAGGCCCCGACGTCAGGTGGGATGTCTTCTTGTCGAGATTGACGGTGAGCAAGCAGCTCTTAAGCTCCAGCATCGCGTGCACAAACTTCCAGCTACCATCCCGTATGGCTCGTTGCAGAAGAGAGTCGCCCTCTGACGTCTCGGAGTCGACCAGCCCTCGCCGGAGGAGGCAGCGGAACAGCTTCAAGCAGTTGTCCTTGCTGTCTCGGGACGTGTAGAGCAGCGCAAGAAGGCCAACACCCGAGCCTTGATCAGGCCCGACTTGACTCAGCCCGCTTGACAGCAGTCGGAGAGCAAACCACCACATGCGCTGCTCTATCGCCTTCCTCAGAACAGGCGCTGCCTCCTGCGCCTCCGCCTCGTCCTTCACCCCGAACGACCTCATGACGTCGAGGATGCTCCCCCACGAGACATACAGGGGGTCAGACATGTGCTGATACGCGTCCAAGACGGCAGTCAGAGCACGCTGAGAGTTCTTCCTCACCCACTTCCGCCTCTCACGCCTCGAGATCAGAGCTAGACGTCGAGACATGGCCGTCATGTGCGACGGCCGCATGGCCCTTAGCAACCTCTTCAGGTACTCTCGTCTCTTTCGAGGGTCAAGCACGCTCTCCTGAGTCTCAAGGCACATAAGCAGCACTGTCCTCCCCTCCCCGTCCGGAACATCTGGGAAGCCATGCTTGACTAGCGCAAGAAACGCCGAATCATCCTCACTCCCGCTGCACTGCAGGCTCTCGAAGGCGAGCATCACCAGGCTCTTGCCCGACCTTGTCACGGCATCATCAAGCTGTCCACTGCACGTGCGAGACTTTGAAAGCTCGGCCACTAGCCCGCTGAGTCGCTTCGTGGTCGCCATGGACAAGGCTGACTTGCCCTTGTCGGTGACGAGGTCTCGAGCTCCTAGTCGGATCATCAGCTTGCAGCATGCTCGAGCATCCTCTGTCGTTGCCGTAGAGTCCTCCTCCTCCTCCTCCTCCTCCTCCTCGCTGTCATCGTCATCGTCATCGTCATCGTCATCGTCATCGTCATCTTGACAAATAGCAACGCCAGCACTTCTATCACGGTATACATCAAATCCAGGTTCATCCTCATTCATGTTGTGTGAGTCATCCATCTTGTCTTCACGTTCCATCTCCTCATCGCCCTTGGATGGTATCCCCTCAACCAGGCGCAGCAGCACGTTCTCACTACCAAGTAACATTTTGCACTGCACTGCAGGCTCATGCCTCATGTCGGCAAGTTGGTAGACCAGCGACACGATGCGCAGGCAAGCCAGCAGCCTCGACACGTCATGCTCCCTCAGGCTTCTCCTCAACTGCCTCGTGAGGATCCGGCTCTGACGAGCCGTCAGCCTCCAGTGCTCTCCGATGTAAGAGAGCTGATGGCTGGGGAGGAGGTGGAGGGAGAGAGGAGATGTCCGCTGCCTCAGCACATCAGTCAGCAACATGTCAAAACCCTTGTCTCCCCCTCCGGTCTGTCCGAGCAGGAAACCCAGCAGCTGACTCGTTCTCGCCCAGTTCTTGGTCCGTATCGCAGCCTCCATAGGGCTGACGCACATCCCGCCGGGTCGCAACAGAGCCTTGACAAGGTCTCTCCCTTCCCTCCCGCTACCGGCCCCGTCCAGCAGCTGCGACAAGATGCTACACTCCTCTCCTCTCAAGGCAACGACAAGATCATAAGCCTCGAGCCCGGCTCTCCTGCAAACCGCAGAGAAAGACGTCCAGCTCCAGTCTCGCCGGATCGACACGGCCGTTGAGTCTCCGCTCGAGCCGGTGAAGCTCCGGAGCTTCTCGAGGATGCTGAGGCCCTGCTGCAAGCTCTGCTCCTCGGTGACTCTGCCATGGGACAGCCTGCGACAAAGAGCTTCCTTCATCTCCAGCAAGCCGCTGGAAACTTCAGCTGGGAACGGCTGGAACATCTCAAGGCAATCCAGCATCACCAAGCCTGCGCTGAAGAACATTGGGAAGCGCGTCAGCTTCTTCAAGGCTCCAACGAGCGCAGCCACGTCACATCCTTCCTTCGCCGCCTCTGTACCCCGCAACGACGCGTACTGCACGAACAACTCCACGCACAGCACGCAAGCAAAGTCGTCTGAAGCCTCCACCGTCTCCAGCACTTGGGTGAGCCACTTGGACCCTGAGCTCGGTATGCAAGCAGGGAAGTAGCAGACGAACTTCGGGGACTCCAAGATCCGGACGAATGCCAAGAAGTCGTTTTCACCCTTCACTCCCAGCTTGATGGACTCCAGCACTCGCTGAACTACCCTTGAGAACATGCTGTCGGCCTCGACGCCGCCCTGCTGCAGCACGAAACAAAAGTCACACAGCTCGACGAGGCTGAGCGAAGGAGGCACGAGCTTGGTGCTGATCTCGTCAGAAGAGGATCGCGGGCTCCAAGTCCAGCAGCAGGAGGGTTGGCCCTGCCGATTTGAAGTTCCCTTGCACTCCAGAGGCTCCCCCTTGGGACTGAAGGGAACCTCCATCTCAAACCACCCCTCAATCCAGTCGTAGAACCTGCCTACAAGCCTGAGCTTCCAGGGAGATAGGACCTTGAAGGTGCCTTTGATTATGCGGTTGCCGTGGTATTGACCCTCAAACGACTGCACTATCCCGCACTTCTTCAGCGTCAGTCTCATCCTAGAATCGGCGCAACTCTCTTTGTAACTGAGGGTCAACTTCCAGTCGTGGAGCGCAGAGAAGAGCGTCTCCGGGCAAACAGCTCTTATCAAGTTGCACTGCGAGCTCTCGGAGAGACGGTAAGGCTCCTCCCTCCCTCCTGACAGCACTGCTTCCTCCTTTCCAGGAGTTCTCTTGCCCGCCCGCCTGCAGAAGTGCTGCAGTTTATGGTCGGGGAGTTGAAGACTGTCCTCCAAGATGCGCGCGATTGCAGGCTTTCCTTCGGAGTCCGCGGAGAACGGGTCTGATCCTGCTTCCAGCAAGACGTCAAGGGCGGCTAGGAACCTTGTCGTGCATGCTAGGTGAAAGGGAGTTTGACCAGTGGACGACCTCTGCCGCAGCATCGACGACACGCTGTCAGGTCCGACGGCGGTCATCAGTCTCTTCAAGAATTTGAGGTTCCTCCCCTCAACCGCCAGGTGCAGCAGATTCTCTTGCCTGCCCGTCAGGGTCTCGCGGTCCGATAGCGTCAGCAGCTTGAGAGCCTCCGCTCCTCGCCCATGCACACACGCCACATGCAAGGGCGTCATGCCCGTGCACTCCGAGAGGCAGCGACATAGTCCTCGCAGTCGATCCTCGTCCAAGTCAAGGACTTGCCACATCGGGCTCAGAGTCTCATCGGGCAGCCCCAAGCCCTCAGCCATCAAGTGAACGACCGTCCTGCCTCGTACAGTCAAGCTGACGTCTGCCCCTTCCTTGAGCAGCAGCGCAGAGACCTGCGTCTCTTGGTTTTTGAAGGCAGTATGTAACGCGGTCAAACCTTCCGGCCCTCCTCTAGCGTTGACAAACTCCTCATCCAACGCGTCTCGACATTCTCTGAAGAGCATCTCCATGATCCGAGCGCCTCTGCCCCTTGCATGCACCTGCTCCCACTCCCCTTCACAGCACAAGTGGAGGACAGTAGAGCCAAATGCCGATCTAGCTTTGACATCCGCTCCGTGCTGCAGGAGCTGAGAAACAACATCCCACTCGTGATCTACACAAGCAATGTGGAGGGGAGCCAATCCTCGCTCACTGCTCAGCGTGTTGATCATCTCAGGACATGACGGCGAGTCCAAGAGCAGGGAGAGGCTCCGACCGATGCTGCTGGACCCGCGGTCCCCCAGCAGCGCGTGCAGGGCTGTCTCGCCATCGCAGAGGATAGAAGGGTCTGCTCCGAAGGCGAGCAGAAGCCTGATCTTCTCCAGCCTGTTGGACTTGCAACACACGTGCAACGGCGTCATGTCTGTCCTCTTCGAGCGCCTGTTGATCAGCTCTGATCGCTCCGCTGGCTCCACGCTCTCCAGCAGCTGCTGGAGGACCTCCGTAGAGTCTCCTTCAGCTTCTGCTGCTGTCATCAAGCTTGTGTCCCCGTTCTGAAGCTCCCACGAGGCCTTGCAACCTAGTCGGAGCAAGGAGGCGACTTGACGGGCTTCCGAGCAGCTGCAGGCAAGATGGAGGGCAGCGCATATGAGCTTCGGGTGCAAGAGTTTTGCATCTTGGCCTTCATGCGGCTGGACGACGTCGACGATGAAGTCCAACAGCTGCCGCCCTGACTGCATGTCCAAGAGGTACTGGTTGTCACCTCCTCCGGCAAGCAGCATCACGATCGTCATCAGATGGACCTCCTGCACCTCGTAAAAGATGCGATATCGCTTTAACGCATTGGTGCAACAGCCAGCAAGAGAGAGCCCTCGAGACTTGAGCTCCTTCATCAAGCACGCCAGGCACCTGAGCCCGTCAAAGGAGAAGACTGACTCCTCGGCCATGAGCCTTCGGAGCGTCCCGTAGCTCTCCTCTTCTACCAGCCTCAGCAATCTCTTCACCAGCGGCACAGCCGCGTCATCGTACGCCTGGGTTAACACCTCGACGACGTGAGGACCCTTGCCTTCCCTGCTTCTGTCTGAGCTCAAGAGAACCTCAACCATGATGGACATGTCCGAGTCGTGCTGCTCAAGAGCGGGAGTTGAGAAGTCCGCCAGGTAATCTGCCATCTTCTGCTCGCCGTCTCTCATTATGGTCCTCTTCACTTCACGTAGTAGGTCAGCATCCGGCTCGAACGTTTTCCATTCCGTGGACAAGACATGCAGGACAGTATTCCCTTGCAAGTCGGTGACGAAAGCGTCCGCCGAAGCCTTCGATAGGGCACAAACAGCAGAGACGTTTCCCTTGTCCGCTGCTAGGTGAAGGGCAGTGAAACCGTCGCGCGCCCTCGGTTGATCCACTTGGTCCTTAAAGCAGGACACCAACTCTGCAAACAACTCGGACGGGAATCCTTCCGTCTCAAGAGCTGCATGAAGTACAGTGAACGGCGCTGCCCTCGCCGGGGCTTCCGTCTCATTTCGCCTCATCAATCGCCTGAATGTGCCCAGGTTCGCAGCCTTTACCATGTGCTGCAGCGCAAAGTGGAGTGGTATCAGCCCTTCGGTCGTCTGGACGTCGGTGCAGGCCCCGTTGTCAAGCAGCAGGTCGATCGCTTCCGTCCTCCCCGCCTTGCAGGCCAGGTGCAAGGCAGTGAGACCGCCTGGCTGTGATGCGAGGTCAAGGAAGACGGGCAGGTCTCCCCCGTGCTCCCTCACTCGCTGCAGGCAGAGCGCGAAGATCTTGTCGACCGTCTGGTCCCACGAAGATCGCAAGAGCAGCTGATGGATGACTGTACTCCCACACCCTCCCAGCGCTGAGACGTTTGCACCTCTCTCGACCACTTGCTCAAAAAGCGTTAAAGAGCCTTTCCTGGCGATGCGATGGAGGAGAGGCAGCTTGTTAGAACCGAAACCAACGTCAAGGACTTGCTGGATGCTGGGACTCCGGAGAGCCAAGTCGATGATTCCATGCTTCCACAGGTCGGACAGGCAGGCAACCCGCAGCAGCAGCTGATTTTCGTCCCTGCTCAGATCCGCTCCCTTGCAAATGAGCAGATGAGAGGTTTGTACGTTGTTGCACATCAAGGCACAGAACAGTGGGCTCACTAATCTGCTTTGATTGTGATGTTCGACAATCTCAGGAGAATAGATCAAGAAGCTTGCGACCGAGCTCAGCGTCTGGCTACTCGTGCAGTGTTTGCAAAGAATGTTCATGACTGCCAGCCCAAGTCTCGGATGCTGCGACATAGCGGCCAAGTGAAAGGCAGTTTCACCATTGTCGTTGCGGTGTTGCAAGTCCGTCTTGTCAGCAAGGAAACCGACAGTTTCTAGTATGATTTCTGTTTGTTCGTGTGACTCGTTGACCTGGTTGCTGAGCAAGCCTGTAAGGTGAGAGACTGACAGGTCCAACTCGCCCTGTGACCATGTGTCTTCCTCCATGCAATGTCTGCATACCATCATCAGCAGGATGTTCCCCTTGTGATCAACCCAGGACGTGTCGAGGCATTGGAGCTCGTCAAAGAGTTTCAGGACCTCCAGCCAAAGATCTTCGCATGCGCACACAGCCAGGCACTCGAGACACGACTTTGCGAACTCCGGCAGGCCTATGAGCGCCTGGTCTCGACCCTCCACTACCTCCCTCGAGCTGCTCCTGGACTGCAGCAGCAGTCGGATCCCCCGGCCAAGTTTCACCAGCTCTTGGGTATCGTAGAGTTCTTCCAAGCTCAGTTTGATCGGCTCGACAAGATGCTGCCAGTGCGAGCAAGGGTCTTCGCTCAGAAAGTCGCTTCGGCCCAAGTCAGCCTCTAGCAGGATGGACATCCTGGCGAAGGTAGTGATCCAATGTGCTCCAAGTACCATCCTGCTCAGACCGCTCAAGCTGTCTCTCAGTTTCTTGCTCCCCAATCGCTGCAAGTCCGAGGGGCTCGAGGCGATGCCCGCGTTTCGCAGCATGCAGATGACGAATCGAGCAATGAGAGGGAAGCAGCTCCTGTCGACGACTCTCTTCAGCTCCCTGCAGCAGCAGCGCAGCATCTGATAGTGGTGAAACTGCAGACCCTTCCCTTCCCCTCCTGCTCTTTGAAGCAGAGCCATCGACTTGGCATCCTCAAGCCGCCTCACGAGTGTTTCCTCCACCTCTCCTGACTGGCCGGTCGCAGGAGGCTGAGACGAGTCCTCCTCCTGCATGCCAACGTTTTTGTCAGCTTCGGACCTGAGAGCAAGTCAGTGAAGGCGTGCTTGCTCAATAGCCTCTGCTTCCACTCACTGCCCGTCTCCGCTTGTTGGACACGAAAGTCGATCCCTGAGCTCATGCAGCACGTCAACTTCTTCCCACAGCAGCATCCCCAGTAGAGCTGGCTCCCAGCTATCGACGACATGCGCCATGGCTGCTGTGCCGCGCGTTGGGATGGCGTCAGGGAAGGACGGGTAGGTGTCTGGGTTAGTGTGCTGGGAACGCAAGGGAGCAGCAGGCAAGATGGGTGAGGCTTTACTCAGGCTAGTGGGGGTAGAAAATGAGCTGCCAAGTAAGTAGCTGCTGCCTCTCACATTTCTTAGTTGAGTTCCATGAGGCAGGCCCACGTAATGTTTTTTAGTATTATTGGTGACCGGGCCCTAAGTTAAGTTAAAAATCAGTACGAAGAGCACGGGCCCGGGCCCGGGCGGCTCGGAACTTTGGTACCCCTACCCCTATTTTCAGAGAGTCCCAGTGAGGTAGGTAGGGTATTTTACATACCCCACCCTTTCAAAGACTACCCTACCCCCTCAGTGATATGCACATTGCCGGTTGTGGACCTTCCCAAGCGCAAGTGACAACTATGGGTGCTTGTGTTGTGAGGGACGGAGGGGGTAGGGTACTCGTAGACGGGGTAGGGTGACTTGTGAAGTACCCTCCTTCCCCTGCTGAACAGAAGTCGAAAAGGAGGTAGGGGTAATAAAGTATTGTACCCGGTATTGGTGGTGCAATGTGGTGGGTAGTTACCCCCACCCCTCAAGTACCACTCAATACCGTCTCCTCTGTTGCCTGCATGTTCTTGCTGGACTCGGCACACCGACAGGAAGACGAGGGGAAGGGAGGGGAGGGAGGGAGGCGAGAATGGAGAGAGAGGAGAAGTAGCAGGAGAAGTAGAGGAGGGAAGAGTTGACGTGAGAAGGGAGGAAGGGAGGAGAGGTGGGACAGGATCGAGGCGAGGATGGGAATGGAGAATACAGGTGGACACCAGAATTAGGACAAGATGTCGTTGAACGGGGCAGGGCAGGGTCAGAGGTAGAGTGCAACAATGCATCGAGAAGATAAGATGAAGGATGACAAGAAAATTCCACATGACAAATCCTAAGTGCAGTTCAGAGAGGGAAGAAGGGATAGTTGGTAGGAAGTGATGGGTGGAGAGGAAAGGGCCATGTGGATTTTGCGTTTATGTCAAACAGCTTCAAATATCCGATTAGAACAGATGAATCATTCCATTCAATGATTGTTGAGTCTCGATTCCAGATATGAGATAATCGACACCACTGGGACTTCGAGCATTTCGAAAGGAAGATAGGGAGTCTAAGTCACAAGAAGGGCTTGAAAACCCGCGCCATTCTTCCACGAAACATGTGAGGATTCTTGTGATTTTCTCTCTTCTCTTGCCTGTGCCACATTCATGCGCACGAGGCCAGTTTATGAAATTGTTTCACTGCCAGCCATCACGACAGTAACGCCTGATCACGAGGAGTATTTGACCATGTCAAAATACAGGGAATACAACCGAACGCTGAAAGGCGTTGGGCTAGCAATGGGGATCTTTGTGAGTCCTGACCGTGCGTTTGAGATGAAAGTGAATGGGTGGCAGGTGTGTCTGATATCATACGGATACTTCCAAGAGCTCATCATGACCGGGACGTGGGGCAACGACAAGATCGGCGGCACTCAGATCAGCTCTCTCTTCCTCGTCATGTGCAACCGCATCACGTCGATGGGCATCGCCGTGCTCGCCATCATGATCAAGAGGGACACGCTGATGCCCGCGGCGCCGCTTACGGCGTACTGCGCGATCGCTTTCTCGAACATGATGGTAGGAGGGCGAGGAAGGAACGAGGGGGAGGGGGATGGGGAGGGAGGGGAGGAAGGAGGAATAGGGAAGAGGAGAAGGAAAGGGCCAAGAGGACTAAGAAGGGCTGCGCGTGCAGGCGACGACGTGCCAGTATGAGGCGCTACGGTACGTGAGTTTTCCGACGCAGACGCTGGGAAAGACAGCGAAGATGATACCGGTGAGCGAGTGGAGGAGGGAGAGGGGGAGCGGGGAGACGAGGAGGAAGGAAGAGGAGAGAGGGAGGAGTGGGGAAGGAGGGAGGAGGGAGGGGAAGAGGAGGTGACGGGCGTCGTGCAGGTCATGATATGGGGAACCCTCCTCTCCACCCACAGATACAAGCTAAAGGACTACCTGGTGGCAGCGGGAGTGACGACGGGGACAACTTTATTCTTGCTGACGGGGCCTGTATCGGCGAAGTAAGCGATGAGAGGAGGGAGAGGAGGGGAGGGGAGGGGGAAGAGAGTAGAGGAAGAGGAAGGGGAGGGGGATTGAGAAGCTGGCAGGCACTCGAGAGACTCGAGGACGACGGCGATGGGAGCCGTGATCATGGCGATGTATCTGTTCTTTGACGGCTTCACGTCGACGGTACAGGAGCGGCTGTTCAAGGACCGTAAGGTGAGAGAGGGGAGGAAGGGGAAGAAGAAGGGAGGCGGTGGGGGTCTGAGGAGAGGGAGCAGGTGTCGACCTGGAACCAGATGCTGTACGTTGGGCTGCTGTCGGCGTTGGTGACGGGGCTGGGGTCTC